ATCCAGGGTGTAAAGTCAGGCGTTGGTGGCGCACGCCTTTAATCCCAGCACTTGGGAGGCAGAGGCAGGCGGATCTCTGTGAGTTTGAGGCCAGCCTGGTCTACAGAGCACGTTCCAGAGCAGCCTCCAAAGCCAGAAAAACCCTGTCTCGAAAAAACAAAAAACAAAAACAAAACAAAACAACAACAACAAAAAAAAGGGTGTAGGGCTGGAGAGATGGCTCAGAGGTTAAGAGCACTGACTGCTATCCCAGAGGCCCTGAGTTCAATTTCCAGCAACCACATGGTACCTCACAACCATCTGTAATGAGATCGGATGCCTTCTTCTGGCGTGGAGGCACAACACTGTACACATACTAAGTAAATCTTTAAAAAGAAAAAAACAGGGTGTATGCTTCTTGAGGAACAACGCCCAAGATGACCCCTCTCCCTCCTCGCTGTCTCTCTAACACACACACTCTCTCTCTCTCTCTCTCTCTCTCTCTCTCTCTCTCTCTCTCTCTCTCTCTCTCTTTCTAAAGGTTAACATAGTTCAGAACAGGCGGGAAAATCACAAGTCCTGGATCTCCATCATCATCCAAATTTCCTAGGGTACACAGTATACGAGGCAGTCTGAGAAGGCAAGGTCTACAGTACTGTCTCAGCCAGAGTTATGGTGATAAAACACCATGACAAAAGCAATTTGGGGAAGAAACAGTTCATCATCAAAGGAAGTCAGGACAGGAGCTCAAGCGAGGCAGGAACTTGGAGGCAGGAGCCGATGCAGAGGCCATGGAGGGTGCTGCTCACTGGCTTGCTCCTTGTGGCTGATTCAGCCTCCTTTTTTATAGAGGCCAGGACCACTTTCTAGGGAAAAGGGACCAGTCAAAGAAACACACCCTGAGCAGAACCAAAGAAACACACTGTGGCCCTGCAACCAGAACTAAAGAAATGTACCCTGACCCTAAAACCAGTGCCAAAGGAACACACTTTGTCCCTGGAATCAGAGTCAGTGAAAGAAATGCACCGTGGCCCTAAAATTGAAGCCAAAAGGCTAAAAAGGACCAGAGAAAGAAACACACTTTGGCCCTGAAACCAGAACCAAATGTGACCCTAACCCTGTGCAGAAAACTAACCAATCCTCGAGCAGAGCTCTAGCCAATCTGAGCTCAGCACTAAAATCTGACCAACCCCCACCCTGGAAGCCCTATATAAACCCTGTGTCTGTTCATCTTGTGGCTGTTGGTGGTACCCGGCTGTCCTCTGCCACTCTGGCAGAGGGCAGCTACTCTGCTGGATTCTTCCCTCCCAATAAACCCCTTCAATGAGCTTTGGGTGAAGATCTTCTTGCATGACGACAGAGCACAGGCGACCCTGGGCAGAGCAGAGGGGGCAGGGCTGTAACACTTTTGCTGGGGAAACCTTCCCTTGGCAGAGTGGAGTTGTTACACTCCCCTCTTGTTCTCTGCTCTCTGCTCTCCTGGAGCAGAGCTGAACTGTAGCAACTTCACCTGAGAAACCTCCTGCTGAGCAAAACCACTACACTGGGCCAACATCCTCAGCTGGAAGACCCTGTCCTGCCTGAGCGGAGCCGATACACTGGGGAAGCCTTTCCCTGAGGCAGGGCTGTAAGCTGCTAAATTTACTGCAACCTGTGGTGGTCCTTGGCTCCCGAGCTCCAGGATACCTTTCCACCTGAGCTGTGTAACACTCAATATTCTGTGACTCCCAAGCTCCAGGATACCTTTCCACCTGAGCTGTGTAACACTCAGTATTCTCTGGCTCCCGAGTGCCAGAATACCTGTCCAACCCTATCCACCCGAAATGCCAACACACTTGCCCACAGGTGACTTCACCCACAATGGGTGGGGCTCTCCCCCCTCTGCCCAATCACTGATTAGGAAAATATTTTACAGGTCTTCTTTTAGCCTGATCTTATTGAGGCATTTTCTCAGCTGGGGCTCCCTCCTCTCCAGTGGCTCTAGCTTGTATAGAATTGACATAAACCTAGCCAGCACAGGTACTCTTGGAGACCATTTTACCAGCTGCAAGTAGGGAGTCCTGACTAGTCCTCTGGCTAGCCAGGTTCCCTGCTTTTGACACACAGATGCTGAGGTGTGAGGAAGGGAGGGCCCAGCAACCCCAAGGTCTAGTTCTGCACCTGAAATAACGTGAGGTCCTCCAAGGGCATCTCCAGACAGGTGTCTGACCACAGTACTGCATGCTTTCCCTGCACCCCTGCCCTTCAGGGAGATGCATGCCACTAATCCTCCAAGTGGAACCACTTTTGCGACAAGAAGTTGGCTGTGCATAATCACAGCATCCGGGAGGCAAACCTGGCAGTCTAGCCACCACTGGAGTTGGCAAGGCCCAGCTTCTTGGGAAGATAAGGTAGAAGATATCAGGGCCACGAGTTCAAGGCTAGTCTGAGAAGCATGAGACACCCCCATCTAAAAAAAACCCACATAAATAAATTGCTTTTAAAAATTGCTAAAATCCTACCACCAAGAAGCCAGTGAGGAGACAACGTTACTCGTACAATCTGGTTCTGGTTCCCAAGCCTCCCTCCCTGGAACTGCCCTCCTGTCTACTTACCCCAGCAAGTCAGGAGCAAATCCTACCAGGCTCTTTCCTTCTGTGAGCAGCCCGTGAGTTGCCGCCCTTGGGGGACAAAGAGAATAAAGGTCTCCCAGAGAGGTCGCTGCTAGCTGATCGTCAGGGCCAGAAGCAGAAGATCCTGACTGCTCCCCAAGGAAGGCCCAGAGATGGTTTCTCTTCCTCTACTGCAGAGCAAGAATGAAACGACACAGCCTCATCCTGAAAGTCCCCTGGGCAGACGCAGGGCCTGCCCCTGAGACCACATTCCCAGTTGCGGCCGGCAGTGGGAGGCTCAGGCAGGCTTCGTGCACAGGGAGGCAGCCATTCTAAATCTGGAAGGCATTTTGCAAGTACCTCTCTCTTCGAAGTGACTCATTTTGGGACTCACTAAAAACTCCTGTGAGTTGAAAGCAAAAGTGGCTGGGGCTGAGGTGCCTTGTACCTTCCCCTCCTCCCCTCCCCTGCCGAGGGAGGATGGGTGCTGCAGGGAATGTGAGGGGCCTGGAGCTCACTTGATTTTATGCCACAGCATTGTCAGCTGGGCCTGCCCAGTTCACAGCCAAAGAGAAGGGAATAGGAGTGAGAAGGAGGAAGGACCAGGGCAGTGTGGGTATAACTTTGCCCACCTGCCTCTTAAGATGGCAGAAGCCTTATGTAAGCTCCGCCCTCCTGTTCTGTCATTCGTGTGTGTGTGTGTGTGTGTGTGTGTGTGCGCGCGCATGCGCATGCGCGCGCGCGCGTGCGCTGAGTCTTTTCGCACTCAGCCACGGGCAGTTCTGCTTGTAGCCAGACCTCCCTCTAAGGGTCATCACTGGCTGTGTGACCTAGGACCCTTTGTTTGACCTCTCTGAGCCTCAGTTTCATACTTGGAACATGCCACAATTCACAATGTGTGTGTGGAAGCCACAGACAACTTGCTTCCAGGAGCAGTGACTAGCCTAGCTGCTCCGGGCTGTGACCATGTCTTTCTTACACCAGTATCCTAGAACAGGTTGCCTAGCAATAAGGTGCTGAAACCAGACATCTGTCATCTGCTTCCAGTTCAACCACTCACCACCTGGGGGACTTTGGGCACAAGCCTCATTAACGCCATATAAGAAACGGGCACAAAGATGGCATGATGCCTCCCTCACAGAGGCTGAACCCCACGAGGCAGGCAGCGTGGCCAGAAAGGAAGCCTTCCCCCCCCCCCACAGGTTGTGGCCTGACTGCTGTGGACTCAGGTAGAGCAGGTTGCTGAAGTTCACGGATAGCATCCGGTGCCTAGCCAGTGCAGCCGAGTAATGGAGAGCTGGCCGGTGCTGTGAGGGACGCGGGCAGTGTAGAATAGGCAGAGACAGCAATGCCTGTCCCAGCTAGGGGCACCCCCTCTTGAGGGGATGTGGGAGTCTCCTTTACTGCTCCCCAGAGAAGCTTGGACATCCTAGTGGGGTTGTTAAGTATTCACAGACGAAGACTTTAAAACACACACACACACACACACACACACACACACACACACGCACTCCCGCACGCAGGCACGCACCGCACCGCACCACATGTGGGGGTTAGAGACAATTTGTTAAGAGTCACTTCTTTTCCTCCCACCACGTGGGTCTGGGGGATCAAACTCGGGTTCCCACCCGGCTGTTTGAACGGCCCCTAGTGGAGTCACGTACTCCTTCCAGGACCTTCTGCACACTGACCTGGCTGGCCTGGCGCTCCCACCGAGGCAGTGCACCAGGAGACGCCAGCGCTTGGCTCTACCCTCGGGATCTACTTCTGTACCCATATTGACACCACTTGTACTATTGTACAGTGAGCACTGTTTTTTTAGACAGCGTCTCACGTAGCCCAGACTGACCTGGAATTCGCTATAAAGCCAAGAACGACCCTGAATTTCTCGCGTTCTTGCCTCCACTTCCCTAGTTCTGGGGTTACAGGTGCTGCGATTGGGAAAGCACTCTACCTATGAACTTCATCTCCAGCTCTTGGGGACCCCATGGGTCCCTGCGAACCTGCGCCTCAAGAGTCTGGAGCCCGCGCGTAGAGGGGTTCAGTGGCCAGGACTTGGAGTCTGGGCCTCAGTCTCCCCACCTGGGCTGGACGATCAAACGCCCAGTGTGGGAGACGCCTCCGGCGCCCCCTTAGCCTGCGTGGCGGCGGCGCGCACGGGCTCAGGGGGGTGGCGCGGGCCGGCGGCGGGGAGGGGCGGGCGCACGGGCGCGCGCACAGTCGGCGGCTGAACCGTTCGGACCAGCTGCGGCCACGGCGCCGCCAACTCGCGTGCAACCCGCACTCCGCCCGCCACCGAGAGAGCCTCCGGCGCCGGTGAGTGGCCTGGGGCCGGCCAGGGGCGCGGGCCAGGGCACGGGGCCGTCGCCCGAGGCGGTGGGCGCACGCGCGCGCGCCCGGGAAGGCGGCTGGGACGCCTGCGGAGGCCGAGGTGGCTGAGGCTGGGCTCCATCCGCCCCGCGGCGCGGGAGTGCGTGCGTGTGCACATCGGGGGCCCGGGCTGTGAGTTTGAGGTGGGCCAGTGCTGGTGGACGGGCTAGGCTCCCGCTTATCCGCTTATCGAGCGTTCACCGTGAGTGCCAAGGAGTACATGTGCCCACGTGTCTGAATGTTCCCTGGTGAGTGGGGTCACACGTGCACGGGCAAAAGTGTACGAATTGCATACGAGTGTGCGGTTAAGATCCAGGCTGAGCACCCTACATTGTAGGCCAGTGTGTGTGATGTGCCGGCTGACCCTGTCCGGAGAGGCCATCGGATGGGTGCTGGGCCGGATTTTGTGAGCCTGGGGCTCAGGGACAGACTTGCAGATTCCCGGGTCTGACACCGGTGGAAGCCGGTCAGCCCAGCCTTGGCAGGACTCTACATGGCCACGCAGGCTGGGGACCGGGCTGTCCTGAGCTTGAATTGAGGTTCCCTGGCTTTGTTCGTGGCTGTCTCTAGCTAGGCCAGATTTGGACTCTGCCCGCCATACCTAGGGGTTAGGCCCTAGGGAGACCCAGGGCCCCACATTCTCACCCTCTCTGCCTGCCCCTCTAAAGTTAATCGGGTTTCGCTGGTTTATCTGAGCCCTGGAGACAGTAACAAATAGGTGGCAGCATGCTTGGGACACGTCCTCTAAGGGCTGTCCTTGCGGTTTTGACTGACAGTTTGTGTGTTGAAAATCTCAGTTGAAAGTTTTAACTCCTTTAACGCAAACTTCAGAAAGTTTCTGTCTGAACTTCTCTCCACTGGCAAAATGCAGCTTGACTCTCTAAGGGGAAAATGACCTTACAGGAGTCTGTTGGGTGTAAAGGGGCACATTAAAAAATCTCTGTTGCTAACAGGAGAAGAATTTCATTGAATGGGTGCCTGACTCGGACAGGAGGAACTTAAACAGTGAACTTTGGACATCATCTTTCAGCAGACAAAACCTGGAAGGAAACAAAAAAAACACCCATGTTCTTTTTCCCTCTTTGTCCTGAAAACTGGGGAAAAAATTTCCCCACCTTCTGGATGTGTTGGAACTGTTCCCCTCCCCCATCAGGGCTAGGCCCTCCCTGGATCCCCCACCCCCAAATAAAATATGTCTGTGGGGAGCGGAGGAGTGAGTCACTCCCTGGCAGAGGGCCCCACGGCAAACATTTGGGAAGGTTCTTGCCTAACTTCCCAGAAGAAAAGGCTCAGGATTTAAAATGGTCCCCATGGTCTGTGAGACTCGGCCCTGTCTGCTTCAGAAATGACTTAAAAAGTCATTTTGCTATTTCTGAAAACTCAAGTCTCAGAAGTAAGCACTGGCCAGGATTTAGAGCTCCTTAGGTTTCTAGAAATGGAGAGCCTGGTCTTCCCCAGTGGCATGTGGAGGGAGAAGGAAGGAGGGAGGAGGGAAATGGGGTTGAATCATTTACAGCAGTACCTACTGTGTGCTGAGCTTGGCTCTGGGGTCCTTAACTCTACCTGGGATCCCATTCTGGTTTTGGTTTTGTGCCCAAGGAATCAGAATCATACAAAGATCAAACATGTCCTTGGGCCAGCACAGAGAGGGTGGCAGCCAAACCCCGAGCCACCTGCCTGCTTTCGAGGTCTGTCCTCCTTCTTTGGGCCTGGGACTTGATGCTCACTTCCTAATGTGCCAGGCAGCCTGTGCGCTAAGGACACAAACACTCCTGCACTCATCAGGGCTCACCAAAGTCAGCGGTTATCGCTGGAATGTCGTAAAGCTAAATGAGTTATGACAGGCCAGCAGGGCCTACAGGGTTCCAACATTCTAGGAGAGGTCTTTGCAAAGGCCACTAAGCCACCAGAGTGAAGGGACTAGTCTTTCCAAGTGCCAAAGACGGCCAAACCATTGTCAAAAGGAGAATAATGTTCCCTTCTCTTCTCAGGTTGGACTACAGAGGGAGGTGAGGGCGGAGGACTTGGTGAATCATTCAAGATTAGATAGGGGCTAGAGCCAGGTGTGGTGGCTCACATCCATAGTCCCCACACTTTAGGAGGCTGAGGCAGGAGGATTGCTTTGATTTCTAGGCCAGTCTCAAATCACATAATAAGTACCAGGCTACCCAGGATTATTCAAGACATCTAAATAAGTACGTTAATTAATTAACAAATTAAACAGCCTAGATACAGGTTGGTACCTCTAAGCCCTTGTTGGAGACCAAGCTGGTCTCTGCTCCAGGAAGAGCCCAGCCGTCTGACCTTGTGGGGAGCTGGAGAGTGAGCGACCTCAGGGCCTCACTCAGTCTGAGTATCTGACACGATCACCTGTCATTCAGAACTGGGTATACCAGTGACTTCCTCATTCACTTGCGTTTCTGGTGTTTGAGAGGAGGGACTGTGTGTAAGGACCTGTGTGGTTTGGGCTAGGCCTGCCCAGCTTGGTGTCCTCCAGCATTAAGAGTTATCTCTTCCCCTTCCAAGAATGTCTGCAAACTGATGAACATTTGCAAAGCGCTTTGCAATGCAATGTCTCAATGTAAGGTGTGAAATAATAGATCTTATGGGAAGGCTCAGCCTCGGCTCTGGCATTGATAGATTTCTCTCCATCTGGCCTGTGATTTGCAGAGGTAAAAATAGGCCTTGCTTCTGTTTTTATTTATTTAATTTCGTTTTTTTGCTGATGTCATCATAGGCAGCATAGTGCACATACCTTTTTGCTAGTCCTTTGGACTCCGGCCTCTGAGAAGCAGGGAGATTGTGGAACAAGGTGTCATTTAGGATGGTTTAGGTATTGGTAAAGGGTTTGAAGTTTTTGAGCAGGCAGTGGATTATCTACTATGTTCTCAGTTTGTCACCCAGGTAATAACAATGTCATCGCCCTTCCTTCCTCCCCCCCTTCCCTTAACTCCTTCCATTATTTCTTTCTTCTCTCTCTCTCTCTCTCTCTCTCTCTCTCTCTCTCTCTCTTCTTCTTCTTCTTCTTCTTCTTCTTCTTCTTCTCCTCCTCCTCCTCCTCCTCCTCCACCTTCTCCTCCTCCCCCACCTCCTCCTCCTCCTTCTTCTTTTTTTGAGAGAGTGTTTCTCTGTGTAACCCAGGCTGCCCTGGAACTCACTGTGCAGACCAGGCTGTCCTTGAACTCAGAGATCCGCCTGCATCTGCCTTCTGAGTGCTGGGATTAAAGGTGTGCGCCACCACCTGGCTTTTTTTTTTTTTTAATGTTAACAGAACACCCCTCCCCCACTCCAGACAGCAACTTTCCCTGTTCCTGTCTGAATTTGGTGACATACACATCTTCAAGCCAAATCTGTAGGCTTCTCAGACCTGAGGTCCAGAAAGAAGTAGCATTGGGGCACATCTGTTTGTGGTGTAATTTCTGTGACATTAATCTTGGAAACTTGAACTTGAGAGTGTGACCTGGCTTTTGACATCTGCCACTCTAACAGGACTTCTATGTGAATACAGACCCACATATACAGCGGCCACTCTAACAGGACTTCTATGTGAATACAGACCCACATATAGAGGGCACACTTGTCTCCGATTCTTGATCCCCACCTCCTCACACACAGGCGCCTTCTCCCGTGTCCTGGCAACTGCAGAGCTGGTCTCCTAGGCAGGCTGCTTGGACAGTGCTAGGCCAAATCACAGTACCCCCTAAACCTCTTGGTCCCCACCCCTGGAGCTGGGCCCTGAGGGAGCTGTCAGATTGCAGGTGGGCCACTGGGTATGAAATGCATTCAGTTCCAAAGGCTTTGACCCACAAGGAGCTGCTCTTTCTCTCTCAGACTTCTGTGTGTCGGTGACCTCATAGAAAAGAAAAAGGGGGCTTTGTGTAGAATTCCACCGAGTGCAAAGGAATGCCGACAGGGAAGGGGGCGGATACTTGCTGTGGGAAGCCTGAGGCGCCTGCCTGTTCCCCAAATTGTTTAACCCTCACACTCCAAGATCAGGGTGGCCATAGAGAAAGAGATTCTTTTTGTTTTGTTTTTTTGTTTTTCTGTTTTTCAAGACAGGGTTTTTCTGTGCATCCCTGGCTGTCCTGGAACTCATTCTGTAGACCAGGCTGGCCTCAAACGCACGGAGATCCGCCTGCCTCTGCCTCCCAGGTGCAGGGATTGAAGACACGTGTCAGCATCCACTGAGCGGCCCTGTGGTTGGAGAAGCTACAGGGACACTGCCATTCACACTGCACTCAGCGCAGATGCCCCTCATACTGCCCTCCCATTGCAGGTGGCAGACAGAGCTGGAATTGTTCAGGACCCTTTATCTAACGTCTGTCCCTCAGCCCCTTAAGCTGGGGACTTCTGGGAAAGAATCTGCAAGGGGACATGGCTACTCTCTAGTGACCTATTTCAGTGAGGAGCCAAGAAGAGCAGCTCAACACAGCACAGAGTAGAGATGACCACTGGAGGCTACTTAGGGTGGACTTTGGGGATTGAAAGCTGCCCATTTTACAGAAAAGAAACCGAGGCTCTGGAAGAGTAAGATATCCATAATCAAATTAAGAATGTGAGCCTTGGGGCCGGGCGTAGGTGGCGAACGCCTTTAATCCCAGCACTCGGGAGGCAGAGGCAGGCGGATCTCTGTAAGTTCGAGGCCAGCCTGGTCTACAGAGCGAGTTCCAGGACAGCCTCCAAAGCCACAGAGAAACCTTGTCTCAAAAAACCAAAAAAAAAAAAGAATGTGAGCCTCTTGGGAGGGGATAGTCGTTAACAGCACTGGCTGCTCTTTTAGAGGACTTGGGTTCCATTCCCGGCACCTACATGGCAGCTTATAACCGCCCTTCATTCCAGTTTCAGGGGATCAGACACCTCCCTCTTCTGGCCTCTAAAGGCACCAGGCATGGACACAGCGCAGACATACATGCATGCAAAAACCCAGACAAAGAAGTTGTGGGGCGTAGTAAACAGCAGCAGTTTGGCAAGAGGCTGGATTTCAGTGCTGGAGTGGCCCCCGTGGTATCTCAAGGAAAGGTTTGGAGATCTGTGCTGGGTTTTCTCCCCACTCACTCACCCCAAGGCCAGACCGTGAGCCCCCTGGGTTTGGGTCTGAAGTTGGAAAGCCCCTGAAGGCCCATGAGCTGTGTCAGCTAAGGTGTGTTATGAAGTGCGGCAGATGTTTTGTTAATTATTTATATAGTGTGCCCTGGCAGAGAGCCTCGCTGACAGGAACGGCTGCTATAGACCTCAGAGGGACCAGAGT